ACTGCATCGTACACAACATCGATATTCCACTTGTACAGGATCTTTTCCTGTTTGTGTGGATACAGATTGTCCGACAGACTCGCGTCCGGCATACTTGCGTCGAATCCCGACATCTTGCACGATCAAAGTCCGATCGCACGTGTCGAAAACCTCGTACTTGAATAGTTTCTTTTGGAACGTAAAAACTCATATTTCGTCATATCCCAACACAGTGTCTTACCACGAACATCAGGAGTTTCCAACTCCCTCGGCGCATCAATGGGGCGGATGTTCCGCTACATTACTCAACAAGGTCGCGCACCGTGCAAAGTCAGGCCGCAAAGATGAGACAGGGCTAGGCAGGTTCTCATGGATCAAGATCCGGGGCAGGGACATCCGACAACAGGAGTCTCAGACTGATGGGCCCCCGGCTGGTCCTTTAGATCTTGTGGTGGTCTCTGCATATTGTCCAAACAAAGAAGGTACCAATGCTGGTAGTGTTTGGAACTACCAACAGAATTACTGGCTGAGCAAGGGGGTGACTGTGGATCCCCGTGACAAGCTCACGCTTGATCTGGTGGACCTGATCAAAAAATGGAAAGCGGAAGGTTGTGAGATTCTGCTTGGGTTAGATGCAAATGAAGATGTCTCCTACAACTCTCCCTCTTCCTTCCGCCAAGAGATGAGGTCTGAAGGTCTGACCGAGGCCATCTTACTCCGACATCAGGGCCCTTACCCAGCGACAACCCAAAGTCGGATGACGGATACTCCCATTGACGGTATTTTTGTGACCAACGAGGTCCGTGTCACTGCAGGTGGATACTTGGACTTTCAGCAGTATTTTAAGTCGGACCACAGGGGACTCTGGATTGACATTGACCTAGAAGCAACTCTTGGGGCCCCACCAGTGACCTCTCTTTCCTTCCAACCACGTCGTCTGACACTGGCCGATGGCCGGTCGGTTGACCGCTATATTAAGGCTGCGGAAGCGGGCTACCGGCATTTCCGCCTTCCCCAACGCTTGACCCAATTAGCGGAGGATATTTCGGTCCAGGACGGTTATCTGACGGCGAATCAGCAAGCTCGATTCAACACCATTCATCGTCAGGCCTATGAGATCCGCCGAAGGGCTGAGCGCAACTGCCGGAAACTGACGATGGGTAAAGTTCACTGGTCACCACAAATGCAGCAGAAATGGGATAGGCTGCACCTTTACCAGCTCCTGATCTTGGGCCATAAACAGGTCAGAACTAGTTCACGGAAGGTCCGGCGTTTGTTGAAGAAGACAGGGTTGAGCGATGCATGGAAATTATCGGAGTCTGACCTACAGGCAAAGGGGCACCTCGAATACCAAGCCTACAAGGAGGTAAAGCGGGAGCGGGCACAGCAGTGGCGCCTGGAATATCTGGAGAACCGATCGGCAGCGGTCCAGAAAGCAAAGAAGAGCAACATCAAAGCTCGTACCAGACGGACTCGAGTCCAGCGGATGGCACAAAAAGAGGAGACTCGACGGCGCAGGAAAGCCCAAGGCAAAGGCTTCTCTGGCGGCCTCCAGCAGATCAAAGTGGCCCAAGTGGCGCCAGACGGTACCTCCCATTGGGTAACATGCCAGTCTAAACGTCTTGTTGAAGAAGGCTGCATGCAAGAGAACCGGCTCCGGTATGACCAGACCCGCTACCCCTACTCCACTCCACCAATGACTGAACCTTTGTACTCCGACTTCAATGGCCCCATCGTAGCTTGGCGGAGTCTGTCACTCCAACCGTGACCTTCGTTGATAGAAGGCCAGAATGTCTTGGCTTCTGCCAACAACGCAATTCCCACTTCTTCTTCCTTCAGCCAGGAGTTGATCTGTTGCTGCTTGGGATCATTGCCGTTTTCTGGTAATCCGTTGACATTCTGGAAACAGATTCGAGTAGCCAGTGGAGAACGACGGCGGTGATCATCGCCAGACCAATCTCCTGTTGGAAAAGAACGTAAATATTCATCAAGTGAAGCATGAGAGACTCCACTTGACGGGCCACTAATACGGGATCTTCTGCCTGCACGCCGTGACCTAGCTGCAGACGATCGTGGGCCTCTCATGTCCCCTCCGCGGAGCGGGGAGCTCCGCGGGCGGACCGAGAAGATTTACTGGCGCCATCACTCTGAGCCTTCCCAGGAGGAGGAGAGAAGAATGGAGGCCCTCCACCTCGCGGGGTAGACGCAGTAAGAGATGAGGTTTGGCTCTCATCTTGAGACGCAGAAGTGGTGTTGTCCCCTTCCATGTGAGACTTGTCTACTTGAACAGCCGGGGCCGCCAAGGTTTGAGCAGGAGATGGTTCCTGAAATTGAAAACCTGTACTTGTACGGGCCTTCTTGGCTGGTTGTTTAGGTGGTTTGCCCTGCTTGATGGCCTTCTTTGGTTTTGTCACTGTGTTGGGAACAATAGAGCTCTTCCCAGTGGGTGACTTGCCTAAGGTTCTGTTGCTAGGTCTGACCGGTGGAGTCAATGCTTGACGGTCAGGGGACACGCGATTGTTGTGAGGTGGAGTGGGAGGTGGATGAACCATCATGGTAGGTGGATGGCTGACCTGGCTCTGAAGGGCAGCAAGCTGTACCTGCAGTGCCGCATTGTCCGCACGTTGTTGTGCCAAGGCGCGCTCCTGAGCCTCAAGTGCATTGTCCCAAATCTCAATCTCATTGAAGGCATCTTCCAGTTGTTGCTCTCGTTCCTGCATCTCGTCCATCATTCCCGTCACTGTCTTCCCATCATCAATGTCTTTGTTGTTAGCCATGTCCAAATCAATCGAGAGTTGGCCGTGGTAGACATCCGTTGCATCTTCCATAACATCTTCCAGAAACTCTAGTGCTTCTTCCACCGCCTCTGGCAATGCGGTAGCCTCCACTGCACGGAGGGTGTTTGTGCACCATTTGAGGTTCTTACGCCGAACCATACTGATCTCTGATTGCGGAACCCATTTACAAAGGGCTTGATCGGGTTTTGTCAGAGTTGGCTCATACAGGTGATGAGTAAGAAAAGGGATCAAGCCCTTCAAGACGTTACGAGCCAATTGTCCAAACTTCTTGCGACACACCAGGATGTAGGTGCCCTCCATCCCGCCTGGTAGAACCATCAAGAACAACGGACTGGACTTGTGACGCTCCTGATCATTCTTCAGCTTACGGTCAGCAGCCTCAGCCATTTTTCGTTGGGCTGGAAAGAGATCATTAAGGAACGGATTCTCATTGTCAGTGATCGGCTGCTTCTTCTTCTTCACCTTCTTTTTCACCTTTGTCGCCGCCTTCTTAGACTGAACTTCCGTGAATTGGCCGTCTTTAGAGTCAGAGGCTACATTGGAATCGTCGTCAGAAGAGTCATCGTCCGAGTCAACAGTCTCAGTTGTTGATTGGTGAGCATGCGAAGCTTTGTCGGCTTGAGCCGGGGTTGCCTTGATCGACAAGAGAACCTTGAACAAGGTGCATGCGCCAAACATAGTGGTAGTAGCGAACTTGAACATCCCAGGAAGGTCCATGACCAAATACAGGACCTCTGTCAGGATATAGTAGTCACGTAGTTTGCTAATAAGGGTGAGGTTAGCGTCCTTGACCGGACAGTAGGCCTTCACATTAATCAGTCCCTGTTGAGCAGACTTCCAATCACTAATAAATGTAGCCGGAGCAGCAAAGGGGAAGTCTGGCTTTGTTGTGGATGGATGAAGAAGGCTTCTTAATTCTTGATCCACTCGTTTGGCATGAATCTTGCGGGCGTACCCATGGGGACTTGTTACACCGGGGGAACGTTCATTGAATTTAGCACGTCCTGTGTAAGGAGTAGAAACCCAATCCATCTTGATTCCAATAGGGATAGCGAAGTCAAAGTGACGCATGATTTCTTTCGCGTAGGCTTCAAAGTTAACCTCCGGCGGAGTGAAGGCAAAGCAACCCACTTTAACAATGTCACCATAATGAAGCGGCGAAGGGTAACATCCTGCACCACGACCCTGGGAACGTAGACCAGTGTGAAGATAGTCTTGGACCGCCTCTGCCGACATGTCCCTTGCAAAGCCCACCCGCATGCAGGTCCGTAGTTTCTTCTCGCCAGGCTTGCTGTTGGTTGCCGCATAAGGAGAATTCCCATATTCCATATTGCAGTAGAGACTCAGGGCCCGGTAGGACGAAATTTTGTTGCGTAACTCCACCGAGTTCCGGATCCACCGGTTCTGTTGTTTATAAGTGTCGTCAGAGATAGGAAGGATCTTCAACTTGTGAAAGGAGTTGTTCAAAGCTTCCTCCATTGACGTCAGCACCGCAGATAAAATTGTCTCAGCAACCGTGCCGGAGTCCGATCCCAAGTAATTTGTCGCAAATGTGGTCTCAAAAATATGACATCTGCATGTCATCCCATCCAAGTTAACTTGAATTAATTTGTTAAGTTTCTCAGCAAGAGTGAGCGGTGGAGGTAGGCGACGTGTAGGTGGAGGTGTGTTTATCAATGAAGAGCTATCCTGAGAGACCTGAGTAGGGCTTGTCAAGCCGTCCACCGCCATGTTGTCATCTTCTGACCTCCCCGGTGCTTCTACATACTCTGACTGAACCTCCCCAGCGTTGCTTGCCACATCATCATCCTCGTCCTCTTCATCGTCATCATCATCTGAAGAAAGTGGTGGGCGTCTTGGGTTGTTACGGACCTCTGTCACCAGTATTTCATCGTCATCATCGTCCTTATCTGGTTGTTGGAAGGCATCGCCGCCAATGGTAGTGGCATCGTCGTCCGCAGCCTCCGCATTGTCATCATTTGTCCCAATCGATTCATCATCATCCACCAGTGCATCATATCTATTGTCAGTCAGAGTACAATGGCGCTTCCGTTGATCCGCTAAAGTTGCTTTGTCTGGATGGGACTAGCCTACCACATTGTCCAAATTGTCATTCATTGGATCACTGATCTTCTGAATTGCTTGTTGAGTGTGATGGGTTGAACTTTCTGGTCGGAAAAAGGACTGAGAAGGTGCCGAACGTTTTTGCTTGATGCCACGGATGATTGACAACGGCGGCTCGCTATAATACTCGTCGCCAAAGGTTGTCGCCCATAGATAATCAAACAATTCAGAACAAATCAACCAAAAGCCAACCAAAGGATTTTCCAGACAAAGTTGAGGATCCGACTTGTCCCCATCAAAGAATTGATTGTTGTTCTGATTTTTTTCGAATTCGTCAATGCCAAAAAACAAGAAAGGGTTCTGCAATGATATTCGCATTGCAAGAACTTGCATTGACCAGGAACACCCGGCAGAACGATGATTTTTGTCATTGTTCGGAGAGCGGACAGACCTTCTCCAGTCATTTTCGAAATCCATGTGATCACGTGGGATAAGAAGATTAACTCATACTTAAGAGCAAAAGCTAATGATGACCAATTATGATTGGTTCAGACAGAAACGATGAGAAGCGACCAAAGCGATGAGAAGCGACCATAACGCGATCAGAAGTAAGCAAAATAAGGTTTCTGCTCGTTCCGAATGGAAATTACTCGTTCCGAATGGAAATTACTCGTTCCGAATGGAAATTACTCGTTCCGAATGGAAATTACTCGTTTCCCAAAGCGATGAGAAGCGACCAAAGCGATGAGAAGCGACCAAAAGTGAGTAATTTTTTTGGGGGCTGAATCTAGGGGCATTTTTTCACAGCTGGGACTTTGGCGAAACAGGCTCGCTGAAAAAATCTCAAAACAAATAATACCGTAATCATCAACGACACAAAAGACAAAATGAAGTTTTGTGAGCATTATTGTTGACACTCACAATCTCCTCTCCAACCCTTTCCGGTATTGCTCTACGAGCTCCATTTCTCACTATAGGGAAGGATCGGAGATCAATAACTACAAGTTGAATTCATTCTGATTCTGAGATACAATCAATAAATTGTTACTAATTAAGAGGTAAGCTATACTGCTGTTGCTGGTGCTGGGGGGTTGATCATCTCTCCGTCTTTTCTAGAAAGCCCAGTGGGAGTTTCATTGTAATCTTTTCGGATATCACAATGAATGCCATTCTCTATCTTGTTTCCAACAAAATCGTTGCCCCCTTCCAATGCAATTACTTTTGATGCTATTCGGCTGCATTGTACAAAACCTGATGCAATCTTCGAGCTTGTTCTCCAAACGTCCTATGCTGCATCCCAAATTTCATCCTGTTTCAAAACATGGAGCCCTCCCCTCTCTCTCTCGCGGCTGCACAATGACGTCTTGCAGCACGCACAAGCACATTATCAACCTCATGATCAGCTTCATCTCTGGTTTGCCTCATCTTTTCTCGTTTTGCCATTGCATGGGCTTGGTTGTTGTTTGCGCTAGTGCAATTGTTGTTTGTGCTGCTGGTGTTCGTGTCATTGCCTGCCATTACTGATGTGGTGGTGGAGGTGGTGGTGGTCCGGTCGTCATCATCTTGTTCTGTAGTGACAATGCCTATGAGAGTGGTACTATCCTGTCAGGCGATTAACAAGGCTTTATCGTCAATGTACATTGGGTGTTGATTTGACTCAGCTTCATTGATGAAGACCACTGTTGATGAAGGGATACATCAAAATCAGTTCGTTGTTGGCTGCATGATGCGCCATAATTTGGGATTGGTACTAATTCTACGTGTTCTACGTGACAATGACTGGTCTTCTGACTGAAAATCGTCGGAATAACGATCCCTGCATTTTTTGAGCAATTTACCTCGTACGTCTCAAGCCAGACTTGGTTGATTGGCGATAAAACATCGCGGATGAAGATCATGGGGGGTAGGACTGAACAGTCCGGGGGATATTTTTGTGGGACTTCCAGAAACGATGAGAAGCCACCAAAACGATGAGAAGCCACCAAAACGAGAAATAACTCACATTGCAAAGCGAGTAATTTTTATTCGGAACGAGTAATTTTTATTCGGAACGAGTAATTTTTATTCGGAACAAGTAATTTTTATTCGGAACGAAGAAGTAATGAGTCGCGACCTAAAAGCAGTTTTTCCATCATTATGTCAGCTGGACCTCTAAATAAATTATTAATGACTAAAGATTTTAAAAAAATGTCCCTTTTGGTTCGAAACTATTTATGAATGACAAGATGTTCTTATATATGAGAAATGTCTTCTTCGTGAGTTAGTCATCTCGCGAGAAGGAACCACAAGGAATTCTAAAGTCATCGATCTGCCGGGTGTTCCAGACGTCTTCGGCTGCTTTATCCTCAATTGTGAAGAGGTCGAAGGAGGATATGAGATATTGGGCCAGCTGGGCATTATCAGAGTTGAGATAAGTAAAAATCTGAATAAATCGATCGTTGCACGTTATGTGCCTGCATCGTCATTGAACAGGGCATCAAATCGCAAGCAAGGTTGATTCCAAGCGCCTGGATATCGATCATCCCAAGCTGCAAATAAGGCGTTGCCTGTTTGAATGCAATCCATTCTTTGCAGCGCTTGATTGACAACTTCACCAGAGTATAATTTCTTCAACCACAGCTCAGATAATTTAGGAACCAGTTTATTGTATGCCTCTCTACGCCGCGCATCTTGTTCAGCAATTCGTTGTGCCTCGAATTTGTCGGCCATTTGTAGAGCGTCTTGGGCATCGGCGATTTGTGTGATGTCAACATCACAGAGGAAGCCTTGGACTTTGCCACGCCCAGCTTTTTTGTATTAGCCGAGGCAGCCTTTGGAGCTGGAGACTTGTCCATGTTTAAACCAGTGTTTTGTCCAGTGTTTTGCCATTTGTTGATTTCTGATATTATTTTTTCTAAGAGAACGGGTCAAATAAGGAGATCGACTTCGCACCAGTTACAAAATTGAATAACAGCAGCCATTGTGATGCGATGATGTGTTGGCGATTTTTTTTTTTTTGGGATGTGTTGTTTGATTTCAGAGTCAAATTGTGTCGGACTTGAAGTCAGACATTGCCGGAGAGAATCGCCAGAAGGCGAACGTTGGGGATATCTGGTAACTTCAAATAATTTAGCCCTAAATGTCGAAGCATCTCATATTGAGAGCTGTATATAAACGTGGCACCGATGGTTGCACGCATGGCACGTCTGCTGTTTAGCCTTTGCTGGCGAACAATTTAGTTAACGCTGTGACGTGATTAGCCTTCGGTGCGCATCCGAATGCCAAAATTGTGGCATGAAAAAATCACGAGATCGATACGACGATGGTGATCCTAACCATGGCTGAATGAGGCGATTTCCTCAAACAGATATTATTCGAAAGCCTTCCCAGGCTCCTGTATCCATTGTGGATTGCTTCGGTCTGATAAACCGTTAAATTGAGTAGCGAGGTACGAGAGATTCGGGACGAAAACGAGTACGATGAGAAACATGGGGATTTTACAAGATGTGTGCGAATCTCTAGGTTAAACTATCTAAACGTACGAATGACGGACACTCTCCAATTAACGTTACAATTCCCACAGTCGACCCCGCGCGGTACGGATTTTCGTCATTTGCCGGGTGTTCCTGAAAGTTCGATTTCTAATAAAAATATTCAACGCGCGCAAAACTCGCCAAAACACCAAGTCCTCGCGTGTCCTGCATGGAATAAAAACAGGTTATGAGTGCCGTGTAGAGATTACAACCTCTATATTCAGAACACAATTTTCATATCAAGACAATAAAGTATGAAAGGCTTCAGTGCCTCATCTCTTCTTGTGCTTTCGTCACTCACAGTAGCTCCTGCATTGAATGCCAACTTGATATTGGGTCGAAGGTACGGCTGAATGAAGCAATTCTCCACGAACCTTGAACACACTGAGACTCACACCACTTTTCAAAAGTAAACGCGTGCATGCGACTCCTGTTCCTCATCACCCGTTTGCACCCATGAAGGGTACACCGATAGTTTGCTCCGCTTCCAATACTTCCTTGGAAATGAAGTGGTCTAAAACAAGCAGTGTCACGGACAGTATGAAACGCGGAAATCTGAAATTTTGGTTGCGCAAGAGCGCTTTTGCATTCGTTGCTCTCACAATGTTGAGCCCTGGATCAGCCGTTGCAGCAAAGGCGGCGGAAACAGTTGAACACCTTCACACTGGTCAAAAAATAGCAAACTTCTTTATGGGGTTTGGATTGCCGAAATGGGCAGTTTTGTCCATTATCTCCGCAATGCCTGTTGTCGAGCTCCGAGGGGCTGTACCAGTTGGCGTCTGGCTTGGCATGCCCATTGCTCAAGTTCTTCCCATCTGCGTCCTCGGAAATATGACACCGATAGTGCCCCTATTATTCATGTTGCGAAATGATAGGCTCAAGTAAGTTATTGTGCTACTTTGCTTGGGTTCTGCTAGTGATTCGAGTAATTCCCTAACGGTGAAAAAACGCAAGGAAGCTTATGGCCCCAATCTTGAATCGCGCAGAAAAAAAAGCTTTTGGGCTAGGCGTTGGATCTCTTGAAAAACAATGGGTCTCACTAGCAACTTTTGTAGGAATTCCATTACCCGGAACTGGTGCATGGACCGGCGCAATGGGAGCTTTTCTATTGAACATGCCAACAGCTTTGGCTTTGACTTCAATCTTTGCTGGGGTGGTGTCTGCTGGACTTATTATGAGCATAATCACACTTGCAGGAAAGAAAGGTGGATTGGCAGCAATCGGTGTCCTTCTCGCACTTGCAGCAAAGGAACTTTTTTCATCGTCGAAACAGGATTTCTTGGAGGCCGAGCCATATTGGGATCAGTCGTCTGTACCTGTAAATACGTATAAGAACAAAGCTCCTTTCAGCGGGAAAATTATTTCCACCAAGCGCATCGTTGGACCAAAGGCAACAGGAGAGACCTGCCACATCATCATTGACCACGGCGGCGACTTCCCCTACTGGGAAGGGCAATCTTGGGGAGTTATTCCACCAGGTAATCGCGAGAAGGATGGAAAGCCCCACTCTGTCAGACTTTACTCCATTGCTTCTTCTAGATATGGCGACGACATGACCGGAAGTACTGGTTCTCTTTGCGTCCGCCGTGCTACTTATTGGTGCCCAGAGCTCAAAGGTAATGACCCAGCCAAGAAGGGAGTTTGCTCCAACTTTTTGTGTGACACCCAACCTGGTGATGAGATCAAGATGACTGGACCAGCAGGAAAGGTTATGCTGATGCCTGAAGAAGACCCTGCTACTGATTACATCATGGTTGCCACCGGAACTGGAATTGCCCCATACCGAGGCTTCATCCGCCGTTTATTTTTCGAGAAGACCCCTGCTGCCGAGGCTTACAAGGGAGAAGCCTGGTTGTTCCTTGGTGTTGCCAACTCTGACGCTTTGCTGTATGATGATGAATTCCAAGAGGCCAAGAGCAACTTCCCCGAAAACTTCCGTTTGGATTATGCTCTTTCTCGTGAACAAACGAACAAGTCTGGTGGTAAGATGTACATCCAAGACAGAGTTGAGGAGTACGCCGACGAGGTTTTTACCAAGTTGGAGAACGGTGCCCACATCTACTTCTGCGGTTTGAAGGGAATGATGCCTGGAATTCAAGACATGCTGAAGGGTGTTGCGGAGAAGAAGGGGATTGATTATGAAGAGTGGCTAAAAGGCTTGAAGAAGAACAAGCAATGGCATGTTGAGGTGTACTAGGATCATAGTTTTCACCCGGTTAGCCCTTCCTGGTTGTTAATTATAAATATTTGGATAGCTCTTTTCACATTCACGGCACATCGAAGGTTATTGCGAACATAGGTATCAGTAGTCCTAAATACAACTATGTGAACACTACATAATACTGTACAATTACTGCGCTCCACGATACTACGGTGGTATTATACATTATACGGTACAGTACGGTACAGTACGAAAGTAACATGACTACGTTACCGTTGCTCAAAATACATATGAATTTCGAGTCATCTGTGTCAAACGCACTGTTACTTTTATGCCTTTTTGGCAGTATTTTTGACGGTACCGTTGCTCGCTTTGTAACATGCCACGCAATGTGAATTCTTTATGGATTTAGGGAAGATCTTTGAATACGTTGATGGAAGAACAACGTAAAGTAGATGAATTGAAAAGTTGTGATTACATTTGGGCGAGACATCATTTGTGTTGACTCGCCGTTATCGCTTGTTATTGGTTGGCTTGCGCGTAACGCATCTTCGAGTCGATTAGTTCGACTGTCATTCTCGGTTACTTTCCACACTCCCTCTTGAGTGCGGGCATTACCAGCCTATAAGGAGTTGTCACAAATATTCGAATGTGGGTCCATCGAGTGGTTTGGTGCTCGAGGTTCACTAGACCGTGTGCAACTGCTTCGCAAAAATGATGATATTTGATGTTGATGTGCTTCGTTTGGGGCCGTAGTTTTGGCGCTTTTGCCAGTTTGATGGCTCCTTTGTTATCTTCAAAGGCCGTGCACTTAATGACCGGTTTGGTGTAGCAAAAGGATTTTATGCGTTTTGCAATCTCTTTGAAGAATCTCATTTGTACCAGGACGGTCCGTAGTGATTGTGAAAGGCAGATATATTCGGCTTCAGTAGTGGACAGTGCAACTTCAGTTTGGAGTTTACTGTGTGCAAAGATCATGCAATTGTTGAACATGATGAAGTAGCAGGACCGTGATTTTGCAGTGTTTGGATCAGCGGTGTGTTCCTTGACGAATCCGCCAGCAAAGTCAGCGTCGGCATAGACTTGGAAACCCGTTCGTTGAGGGCGCATTAACATTCCTTTGTCTTGGGTATCGCGCAAATATTGGCAGATACGAAGGATGGCGTTTTCGTGAGATTTCTTTGGAAATGCCATGAATCGTCCGACTTGTGAAACTGCAAAGATAAGGTCTGGTCGAGTGGAACGAGTTAGCCAGTTCAACATTCCGACAAATGAGCGATAGTCCCAATTGTGTCGTCTTGGCGGTCCACTGATGTCCTTGTGTAACACTTTGGTCGCTGGGGTGCGCATGAGTCGTTTTCCAGGTGGTCTCTGTTCGTTGACTCCGACCGTTTTGAGGATCCGTTTGATCAGAGTAGGTTGTGTTAGCCATCTGGTTCCATCCTTGCAGCGTTCCATCTTGATTCCAAGATATTCATTGAGGTCGCCTTCGTCCGTTAGCTTGTAGTCCTTTTGGAGAGAGTTGATGATGTCATCAATTTCGCCTGCGTTGGGACCGATCAAGATTCCGTCGTCGACATATAGGATAAAAATGGTTTCTCCTTTGTAGAAAACCGCTTTATCTGTTTTCGACTGTTTGAAACCTCGTTTTCGTAATCCCTTGCAAATGAAATCGAACCAGATTTTGGATCCTTGGCGGGACCCATATAAATTTTGCTTTAGTTCTAACACGTGGGTGTCTCTGCTTCCATCTACGTTGCAGCCTTGGGGAATTTCCATGTACATCGGGCATTCGACTTTTGCTTGGGGAAAGGCTAACACAAAATCAATTTGTCTCGTTGTCCATTTGTTCATAATGGCCAGAGTTAGCAGGCTTCGCACACTTTCCCACGTTACGACAGGAGAATATGTGTCCCAAAAGTTGACTCCTTTCTCTTGCGAACTTCCGTCAACGCAAAGTCGTGCTTTCCACTTGTAGATCTGTCCGGTAGCAACACGTCGTTTTCGTTTCATAGACCAAACACCACGCATTATCTTGTGTCCTTCTGGCACTTTTGTTCTCTCGATCACTTCCCAATGTTTTCCCTCGGTATGATCTTGAATTTCTTTTCCCATGGCTTCGCTGAATTGTTTCCAATCTTTCTGCTTTCTAGCTTGATGCAGATACATTGTGTCTTCGTCTGCGAGGGTTGCAGAGAAGGCCATGGGGTTGCTGGCGATGGACTCGTCCGCAATTTCGTTGGCATGGATCCGTCTTGCTGTGGAAGTGTAATAGGTGTGGAGCGCCAACTTCATTTCTTTCCTTCTTTTGTCCAGAATGGTGGCGGCAGTTATGGCGCTTCTTTGAACTGGCGTGGGGGATTCTTCTCCCTCTGAAAGAGTGCTTGAGGGTGCCTGGGCTCCCTCTGGAGATTCTTCTCCCTCTGAAAGAGTGCTTGAGGGTGCCTTGGCGCCCTCTGGAAAGTTGTTGCCGCTGATGCTGTCACCGTTTATCACGTCTTCCGTCGAAGTGCTGCGTGATCCATTTTGGATCTTTCTCTTTTTGGACTTCTTTTGGGGGATTTGCTTGGATTTTCGCTTGACTTTTTGTCTTTTAATCTTTGCATGTAAAGCCGCCCTCACTTCCTCTGGCTGCAGATGCTGCTGCTTTTGCCGTTCCAAGGAAGATTTCGTTCCGTTTTTATCTTGACCTGTTGTTGGAACTGGAGCTCTCGATTCGTCTGCTTCCTTGTCTGCTGGGACTGTAGGAGGGGTCTGCGAATCTTCGCGATTGAGAGTACCTTGCGGTCCTTACTTGGACGCTGCCAATGGATTCGGATCCTCATTTTGTGGATCCTCAAGTGGATAGAGTTCGTTGATTTTGGGTAGCTCCCTCTGAGAAACCTCTTGTTGAGGAAGCTCCCTCTGAAGAATCGGTGCTCGTTGATTCTTCTTCTTTCTCACCCGATGAATTTGGGTGATTTCCTACCATTTTCCTGCTTCTTTCATGATAGGATGTTTCGTGCTTTCGAATCTGTCATCATGTTTCACGTGGAATTGGGGAGATGTCAGTCCAGTGATTGGGTTAAGTACCAATGACACTGTGGATGCGTGTTCTCTGGAGAAGCCTAGGAAGATTCCGACTCTGGATCGATCTGTCCATTTGTTGGGTTGTGCGTTTCCGCTCTGCAGGTCAGGGTCCAGTGTGTAGACCGGGCATCCGAAGGTGTGGAAACGGTTCACTGGAGGTGGTTTGGAGGTTTGGGCGATTTTCTGGAGCGGTGTTCTCGTTTCTCCCTCTCGAAGAGTGGAGGCGCGAATTGTGGAGGCATAATTCATGGCAAATCCCCAGAGGTGGGTGGAGATGGCGTCAGGCCAGTTGTGTTTGGCAAGGAGTAGCATGGATCTGGCCGAGTCTCGAAGGTCACGGATGCGTTTTTCGGCGATTCCGCTTTGATGGTGGGCGTTGACACCGCAGAAGCTGATACTTTGGTTGCTTGCGGCACATGCTGCTTTGTAGGTTTTATCGGCAAAGATGCCATTGTCGCAGTGATAATGCTTGATCCGAACATTGAAAGATTGGGCAAATTGTTCGAAACGGGATTTGGCTTTGACAACAGCTTTGGCGTGATTGTATTTGTGCAGGTGGACGTAGTCGATGCCGCTGAAGTGGTCAACAAAGACAGTGGCATAGTTATATCGTGCTAACGCTACTCGACCGCGGAGTTGGGCAACTAAACCGGGGACACTGACAGAGTTCATGGTGTCCACTGATACAACGTCACCAGGTTTTCTTGCCTTTCGTAGTTATTGGCGTCAAAGTTTCTTGTTGGACCAATGGCGCCAAGCGCGTCTAGTTTGCTTTCCAAATTGACATCCTGGGCAGAATGGGAATTAGGGTTGTTCCTTTTGCTTTCATCTGTAGCTTTCCTCCAACTCCCTTGAGATTCATGTGTGATACAGGTGTCAATTTTCCGATGAACAGGTGCCAATTTCCGCTTACGGTGGCCGAAGTGCAAGTGTCGATTCCTATTGGCCACATCAAAGGCAGTGTGGAGTGCACGTATCGGCTGTGGACGGAGTATAAAGCTTGTGTGGATTGATGATTGTTCCTTTCAGTTGCTGGATTCTGTTTCGCTTTCAGTCTCAGAGGTGCTGCTTTCTTCGTCGCTGCTGGAGTAACTTTCGGAGTCAATTGCTGCATTGACTTGCACTGTTTTCTTTCCCTTTTTCTTTTGGTTCTTGGGATTCAGGGCGCAAAAGGCTGAAGAATGTGGACCTTGTTGTCGATTCCCGGCTGCAACAACGTATTTTTGGTGGTGGATGCACCAGTTCCATTCTTTGCCGTCTCTTTCGATGGGTTTATCTTCTTTTCCTGGTGATGGAGGTGTGGTGATCCAGTTCTCGTCGGTTGTGCCACGTTGCTTCTTTCCTTTCTTTTTCTTGGCTGATTTGGCAGCCTTCTTTTTCTTGCGGAGAGCGTCTCGTGTGCTGTCGGTCTTCCGCTTTAGGAGCTTATTTTCGGGTTTTAGTGCCATGATGACTTCTTCCTTGGGCTTTTTGTTCCATAGCCCTTCGTCAACAAATTCCACGTACTTTTGTTCGGATCGGTCCATGATTTCGTTGATGCTGGGAACATTCATTTGATTCTTTTGTTGCAAAACAAACATGGTAAAGGCGTCGCATTTGATTGTTTTGTAGCTTTCCAATAAATAGAATCGTTGCATGGATTTGTTCATGCTAGCAAGGCCATCAGGTGCTGCGTGCATGATCCCAACGAGGCGTTTGAATTCTTGATGCAAGTTCAATAGGTTGTTCTCATGGTCCTTGATGTCGAGCTGACTTAGTTGTGTGAGCACGTTGTTGGTTCCAGTCGTGGTGGTAGGAAACACTTGGGACAGAATTGTCTTTAATACAAGGGCAACGTCACTGTATCCTGACTGCATCGAGTAGTTGGGTTTGTGGCTGATGATGTGTGTATGAAAGCTCGTTGAGAGGCTCTTTAATACTGACAGTGAGAGCATGTAGGATCCTTGTCGATTCCAAGTGTTGGTGTTCCATCGAGTGATGGCTGCAGCTTTCACTTGTTGTAATGAGATTGAGAGGTAGTGATCAAATAGATTCAGAACCTGGCCTTGTGCAGTTGTCACTTCAAATACTTCATATAGATTGACTTGTCGAGCTTTGTCTTGCAGGTGATGAAGGAGAGAGTTCGCACCAGGTTTGTCGCTGGCGTAGCTCAGATCCATCTTTTGTGAAACAAAATCTAGTGCGTCTTGGTGTCCTCTTGTTGGTGGTGTCAAAATTCCTTGTCCGTAGATTCCAACTAGAGCCATAGGAGGCTGGTTTTGTTGTTGTTGCACCGGAGGAATTTGCTGGGGTTGTGCCATGATTGGAGCTGGTTGCATTGGTACTGGTTGCTGTGGAGCAGCTGCTTGTTGTTGTTGTTGTTGTTGTTGAAGCTGCTGTGTTATTTGCTGTGCCGAGACTTCTCCCAACGGAACACGTGGAACGGAACCAATCATCAGATCGCAAAGTATTCTCTGTCAGATTCGACACCACAGACGAGAACCTTTGACAAAGACGGGAGAGAACTCCAACAGACTTCCGCCAACGAGCACTGGAAGCAGGATACGACAAACAGATCAGCAGAACGCAAGGGTTCTCTCCCATCGCCCATC